GGGTATAATCCTCGCACCATAAATGGCCTGACCAAGGAAGGTATGTCAAATCCTTGTATGTGATATTCATTCAATTGTCTGTTACCTTTTCAGCCATTACAGATAACGATCGTTCCTAATTTGCAGAACCCAGAGATAACATGTCTCTGAACAGAGAGAAAGAATTCTAGCAGGTTTTCCTCTCCCACAGCACAATGTCACTACCTTACACTTACTAAATGCATCGCTTACAGTCTGCACAAGGCTAGCGTGGCTAGAGAGGAGGGATTAGAGGGATAATGTAGCTACTGTAACGATTGCTTTTAACTGAGAAATTAAAAACTCAAACCTCTCCAATACAGAAAAAAACAGTTAGAAATCCCCTCAAACTAGGTCAGAATTAATCCTTATCTGAAGTAATCTTAAAGCACTGGTAAAATGGCCATGATGTGACATAGGGAAAGCACTGAACCATCAAAACAGACGATGCGGTCAAATTACATTATCTTAAAAGTACCTTCAGACCTTTTTACACTTGATTTTTCCCCCCGAAACATAAGCAAAATGTAATCAGGTTAATATCAGCCAAGCACAAACTGGGAGCATGGAAAAGACTGGAAATGATTTAAACCATCAGCAGTGCAATCAGGCACCACATTTTACAAGTAACACCAGGCTCCCCTGACATCCCAAAAGGAAACCTTCAAACATTATACTCTCAAAATGGTAAGCACGTAACTGATCTCTTGCCATCATTACAGTTTCTGTTTAACATGAAAACACCGACTGTTTGACTTGGATTATAAAATTACATTCCATCTAATAGCCGTTCTTTTCTATTTATTGTTGAAATTTAAATACTTCATAACTACTGGCAAACAAACAAGATGAATATTTGCAACACAAATTCAAGACCTAAGTCTACAGCAATTTAATACACCACAGAAAGTGCTTATCTGCAGAATCTACCAATAAGCTATAATAAATCATTAGATGTCAATATAAATGTGCTTTCTTTGCCCAAGGCAATGCTAACATAGAATAAAACAACTGCAACTGGAAATAGTTCACATACCTAAGGATGCAGCACACAACAGTCACCGGTTTCATACCACTTTTAAGACATTTTAGAAGATCAAGTCACTTTCCAGAACTTTTAAACCAAACAAAAAGATCTCCCCTCAGGCAATACTGCTGGAGAAGCATGCTTAGCTAGTGGTGCGACTTTCATAGCTGACGTTTAAAAACCTGCACATCAAACCTCACCCCGAGTACTGTTTTGTACAAAAGATTAATGCAGTTTGAAAGTAAACTCAGGCACATTATATGAGGCCTAATATACAACTGCTGCTGCTGTTTATCAGAATACCGACTCCGGCTGCCTTCTGAACTCTTCCCTCTAATTAAACAGTTTGCCCACACAGCTAATCAAAATATGAAAATCCAGGACGTGTGAATAGGAAGTCAAATGCTTCAATCTGGAAAGCTATAATTATAGAGCAGAATTCAAAGTACCAGGAACCGAAACACCAGCAAAGCACAGACCGCAAATAAAAATTCAAGAGGCATTCAGAGTTTATATATTTGGCATTTGATAATGCATCACTGACTGCACAGTCAAGTGCCAAAAATGAAGCAGAACTATTATAAATCATATCTCCAAACTGCAGAGTTGCATGCAACAACACACTTTCAGAGGACAAGGTAATTGTACAGAGACCTTTTGCTACACTTAGGTTTTCTTATCTACTGCCAATGGTTGGTGCCTGTTCAGAAGCTTTCTGTGAAATTAAATTTTAAATATTTGGGCAACAGTAGTAATGCTCTAACCCTAATTCCAGTGAGAGAAAGTAATACTTTCATGATACTATTTGATGGTGCTTTTAATATATATTGACAGTTGTTTACTTTAAAACAATGCATCCTAGCATGTATTATGTTTTCAAAGGTTTCAAAGAGCTGTTGCTGTGTTTCAAACACCTAATACCCAAGGTATATTTTGAAATGTTTTACACCTGAATTATTAAAAAGAAAATAGACAAAGTTATTGGGGTTTTTTTCAGTCAATATTTTTTATGAAACTGAGAAATAGATGTAGGTCCTTCCCCTGTCCATACAATTCCTTTTTAAAAAGGGCAAACAGAGACTGAAGATTTTCTAGGAAGCTTCCACCTTGAAAATTCAAGGAAACACATGAGACCTGCCTCTCTCTCTGAATTCCTTATGATTCCACTTCTGTCTCTCACTGTAAAACTTATTTTAATGTGCACAACATGAGCGTGCTGCCTAAAAAAAAAAAAAAAAAAAAAAAAGTATTTCAGCAATTACAACTGCCTGTTCTGGGACACTTCCTCAATGCATCATGGAAAGACAGCACCTGAAATTAGTTTTCAGTTTACACAAATATTTACATAACTGTACGAAAGTAGGTGCACACCAAACCAGTACCTCGATTAAAAATTAAACACTGATCAGTAGCGTAGTGCAGATTTAGAAGTGAAACAACTCAGTGTGACAAAATTAACCTGAACTCCAGCTGCTACTCTCCATTTGTGAAATTCTGGTTTTTACTTTCTTCCTAAACTGCACATGCATGCAATGGAATGATAATTAATCAAATATTCCCACTGTTGTCTTCCAAACTGGTGCGAAACAATTAATTTCCCTGAGATCTAGGGTACCCTTTGAAGTGGCACTTGTGCTTGCTTATGCAGAAATACTCTTCCCAAATAGCTCAGTGGTCATTTAAAACTCACTGCACACTGCAGAGAAACTAAAAATTATTAGTTTTGACGGCAGGCTTTAATTTTTTGAGCCTGCAAAACCAGGTTCAAGTGGTCAAATAAATGTTAAGTCTTTTACATTTCGGACTTAATTTCTTTTACATAAGGATAAGGTCCGAGCCAAAGCAGCATAAAAGGAGTAGTGTGGAATGCTAGGTTAATTCTCAAGCTACACATGGTTAACAGCTGTACACTGGAAAATAATTTTTAGAAAGGCAGCTCAGTCTCTGGTAAGTGGCATCTGTCCCAAACAGCTAAAAAAAATAAAAAATAGTAAAATAAAAATCAGAAATACTTTCAGTGAGCTTAAAAACAAAAGTGAGGGCTGCTGTGAAAGAGAACAATGACAGGGAAGAGCTTAATAGGCAAATATTTTGCTATTTCAGGAAGAGAATTAAGGAGCAGTGTTGCCTTTTTAGATACGCTGTCACAGAGCACAGTTAAAATCCGCACTTACTTGCTCCTCCTAGTGGAAGTTAATATGAGAGAATTCTGACTCGGTGCAGTACTACTTTCCCTTGCTTCCAAATCCTGTCAATAAGACAACTTCTGCATGCACGTTATTTTGTTTATATACAAACTAACATACAGTAATTAAAATAAACCCTACTTACACGTCTTTCACCATCCTTTTGAAATACAAATTTTCCCCTACGAGTGCCAGGGAGACTGAATGTTACATCACATACAATTTAGTAGTATGTTATTCAACTGCCATCTCATCTTAAATTACTTCTTTACAGTGTAAAATCCTGTCATTTCCCAAATAACATGTCACTTATTTTTTAAATGCAGAAATTAATCCTAATATTGGTTTTAGAAGATAGCAAAGCAATTAGTAAATTACACATTTATATTAGAAATAGCATTGTCTGTGGACTCCTGTTCAACTGTCATCCTTTTTCCTATACAAAACCCTAGGGCCCAGAAATAAATTAAAGCAAATTGAAAATCACAAACGAATTGCTACTGTCGAGCGAAAGGTTCATTTACAAGATGATGTGATCAGCTTTTAATATGCAGCATCATGAAGCTGCCATATTGACTCTGCTCTTGAATATGAAAAGAAACAAAATTAAGAGAAAATGAAGCACAGACTACTTTGGCACTTTCCCCTACAGTTACAGCTGCTGGTAACTATACTTGAAATTTCCATATGATACCAGAAGCATGGTAGTTACATACACATTTATAGACTGATAAAAAAAAAACACCACCCCCCGAAAACCAAACCCAAACTGAAAATTATGTTCATCAGACTGTTTGCCAGAAACTTAGTGCCGTGCAATTTTACTTTCAGTTAATATTAACATTTACCCAAGATCTCTGCCTACAGTTTGATTTCAATCCAGCTGCATCTGAGCCTGGCACAACAGCCGAGTGTTCCATTCAATATTTTCTTTCAATGTGCAGTAGAAGGTTAAAGGTGCCTGAAAGGTGACCGAAAATGTTATCCTGCATTACCATCTGAGGGCTGTGCACTGAGGTTACTGGACCCTGAAAATTAATTTTGACAGGTGCATCTTCTCATTGACTTTCTGAACACAGTCGGGGCTGGTGGAAACACGCCAAGCGGTGTACTGTGACTAACACAACTCCACCATAATCAACCTTGCGCCGTCTGTCCCACCACCAATACATGACCATTTTACAAAAAAGGTTTTTAAACTGTGAGCTGTACCAGCCTCTGCGTGGTAAATCAATTTCAATTAACGCCAATAAACCTTCCATCTGCTATCAAAGCCTTTTCATTCAGTCCTTCTCTAACACTGTACAAGGATTTCACAGTCAGTATACATGGAGCTATTTACGTGTACTTCAAACTTTTTCAGCTATTTTTATTTTTTCCCCTTTTTATCTCCGGTACCCAGAATATTTGTCAAAAATTTTACCATGAAAAAAATTTAAAAGCTAGTAAATCTACTTAAATCAGAAACAATTTCTGCCTTTGGCCTAAATCAAACTTTGGTTTTACTAACATGGGCTGTTTTTTCAAAAGAGTCGAACTCAATTTTCTATCTAGGTTCTCATCATCATCTTTTTATGACTGTGTAAAATTAAAAATCTCTGATATTTTATTTTGGTTTTTTTAATCTTTGCAGCATGAGCCATTTGCAGACAATTACTCACCATGAACAAAAGAAAATGAATACCAAAGAATAGCAGTGGATTCAAACGTGATCAGAAAAGCATTTTGCTTGGCCACTGTCTCATATCCCATCACTGGATTCTTACAACATGCTTCAGTGGAGAAGACGACACTGCTGCTTTGCAAAGATGACCTGGAATACCAAAAGGTCTCTGTTTCGCACCCATCTCATTGGCCTGATCTCTCTTGTATTTCTTTTTGCTATGTTTCTGTTCTTTAATCATCACGACTGGCTGCCAGGCAGGGCTGGATTCAAAGAAAACCCCATGGCTTACACTATACGAGGATTTAGATCTACAAAAATCGAGACAAACCACAGCTCTCTAAGGAATGTGTGGAAAGACACCATACCTCAGACGCTCAGGCCTCAAACCGTCACCAACTCCAACAACACAGATATGTCACTGCAAGGAGTAACTGGTTTGGAAAATACTCTCAGTGCCAATGGAAGTATATACAACGAGAAAGGTACTGGGCATCCAACTTCGTATCATTTCAAATACATCATAAATGAGCCTGAGAAGTGTCAGGAGAAGACCCCTTTTCTAATATTGCTCATTGCTGCAGAGCCAGGCCAGGTGGAAGCTAGACAAGCTATTCGACAAACCTGGGGTAATGAAAGCCTCACCCCTGGCATTCAAATTGTTCGTATTTTTCTGCTGGGCTTAAGCATCAAGATAAATGGATACCTCCAGCGTACCATACTAGAGGAAAGCAGACAGTACCACGACATCATTCAACAAGAATACTTAGACACCTACTATAATTTAACCATTAAAACTCTGATGGGAATGAACTGGGTTGCGTCTTACTGTCCACGTGTTCCATATGTTATGAAAACTGACAGTGATATGTTTGTCAATACTGAATATTTAATACACAAGCTTCTGAAACCAGAACTTCCTCCAAGACACAAGTATTTTACAGGTTATTTAATGAGAGGTTATGCACCTAATAGGAACAAGGATAGTAAGTGGTATATGCCACCTGATTTGTATCCAAGTGAACGTTATCCTGTATTCTGCTCTGGAACTGGTTATGTTTTTTCTGGAGATTTAGCAGAAAAAATCTTTAAAGTCTCCTTAAGCATCAGACGTTTACATTTAGAGGATGTATATGTGGGGATCTGTCTGGCCAAGCTGCGAATTGACCCTATGCCTCCACCCAATGAGTTTGTCTTCAATCACTGGCGAGTTTCTTACTCCAGCTGTAAATATAGCCACCTAATTACCTCCCACCAGTTCCAACCTAGTGAACTGATCAAATACTGGAACCACTTACAACAAAATAAGCACAATGCCTGTGCCAATGCAGCGAAAGAAAAAGCAGGCAGGTATCGCCACCGTAAACTGCACTAGAAGGACAACGCTCCCTCTGTCAGATGTACTCCATGTGCAATTTGTAAATACTGCTGAACGCATGTACAGTGAAAATGGATGAGCTTAATGGGACAGCCTTTAGTTGATCCACATCACATAGTGCAGTCTGAAAATTATTTTTTTAAGTTAAAAAAGTATAGCTCTCAATAACCTAATATTATGAAACTATAACCAAAAGGTTTTCCCAGCAAATTTGAGAGAAATGAAGATGGTATATGAGGATCTTTGTGTTAATGTGCAATAATAAGCATGCACACTTTGGTGGTACAATTGCTGACTTACGTGCCAATAAAAAATAATTGAGCGTATTTTCCACACTAAAATCTTATTTAAGAAAATGCTTTCATAGCTCTAGTTCTCCTCAATGTAATGATTTCTTGTTATCTAGAATTGCTATAAACTGAAAAATTTAAAACTAAGGAAATGCACAAAGGGCAGATCAGTTTTACCTTCAAATACCACATTAAGGTCATTATACACTTCTTAAATGTATAATATATTTAACAATGTCACATTTATAATTTATTAAGACACTACCAATGAACTCTAAAGCGCTAAGAAATTACTCCCTTAAAGCAGATCCAGTTTAGGAAAGGCTGCTTGGTTTGGTCAGGAAGGAGGGATAAATAAGATCAATGTTCAGAAAACTCCCACCTTTGTACATCACCTTCAGAAATGCACATGGTGTTCTAGATTCAACCAGATTCTCCTAAAATAGCTTACTAAAGTTACTTAATTCTCTAACAGTCACATGGTGAGCTCCTAAAACCTGGTGCCAAGTAAAATTCATCTTGGCATCTTCATTCAAATTCATTGAATCTGCTGTTCATTTCCTTGCACAACTTCAAGGTAACTCAAAGGCTGACGAGAAATGCAAAACAGAACTTCAGGTCTTTCACTGTAGTCTCAAAAATGTTCCATTTTGTGGAAAGGGGTAGAAAACCAACCAAATCTTTGTTGATTTTGCTCTTTCCTGCCTGCCCTGCCCTCCCACCCAGAAAAAGAAAGATCAGTCAAGTGAATATAGGTCTGATAGAGAAAATCAAGGCACACGCCTTACTTTATAAATGGGGAAGACTATGGCATAATAAGATGGAGAGTTCCAGACAGCAATATGGGCAAAACAAAAAACTAGGTGATTTTAAAAACTAAAGGCACATGTACCACTGAAAATAAATTGTGAGAAGTAGGTTAGATCTATTTACAGGTTTCCAGTTTTCTAACAAACAGAACTTTTAAAGCTTATTTTCCAACTGAGTTACAACAGAGTTATATCAGATTCAGGTTATTACTGTTTGTCACAGTGCCAGGGTAAGCAATACCCAAATCTGATTTAGCAACAGATAATGGAACTGTGATTAGTTTTCTGTTTGACTGGGGCTTTTTAATTGGATAAAATACAAATATTTGATGTACTTTTATTATTTAATAAAATTGATTATATTTATGGTCTTCAGGCTTCACTTTTTATGGGAAAGTTGCTCAGGAAAAAAAACAATTTCTAGCTTTACCATTACTCGACTTTTCTAGTGTTCCCTAGTTCTTAAAGCCTAGTTTTCAACACCGTGAGATCACAGCAGTTCTTTTGTTGAGGGTTTTTTTGTAAGGAAAAGACAAACCATATTACTGAGCATTCTCGGCAGCCTGAAGGCTGGCCGTATGCAGGAACATACGCGCGTGAACAGGCTGCACTTCACTAACTAGCTCTCTGAAGAAATCTCAGGAGCTCCTATTGAAGATGGGTACAGGAATTTGTTCATTGGTATTTTTGTTGGTCATTATCCACCAAATTTTGTTATCCATTCTATTTTGGGTATGATAATTATATATTTGTGCATTTCCAAGATATCTCAAATTGTAGATATGTCCATTTCTGGGGAAAGCAAATGTGTGTAAAAAATAGTACTACTCTGCAGAAGAGATTTCTCCAACTAAATTGGAAATGCCTCCACTTAGTTTATGTGATGGCTGTTGGTGTTCATGTGAGACAGAGCGCTAGAAAAAGGCTTTGGGAGTGTTCTTTCAATACCCATTTACTGTTTTCTTCACCCTCAGTCTGCCTGCTTCCTTCCAGCTAACACAGGTCACAGTTAATATTGCAGCTGGAAGCCACCTGGTTAAAGTTAACTGTATGCAAGCTTTACACAATAGTGCTAGTTTTAGACAACTAGAGTGAGTACTGAGAGCCAGCTACTACTTAACAGCATTCAGTTCTGGAAGATGTACAATCCCATAAGTGGCTTCTCCCCAAGTACTGCTGGCCAAGAACACAGCCCAGCCTCTTGGAGAGGGCTTCAACACTGTTTCCTGACTTCAGCACTTCCAAGCTAGACTATAACGTACTCTACTTGGATTTTACCAACTCTGGCTAGTTCAAAATGCTGTACATTGGGTATAGTCCAAGATGCTAATAACTAAACCTTAAACAGTTTGGCACTTGAATCATAAAGTTTGGCAGCCAAACAACCTCTCGAGTACTTCACTTTGGAGCTCATGCATGATGCCCATCTGCCCAAGCTTGGCAGAATTATGATACAAGTTCAGTATATCAAACCTCTTTATAGTGAAAATACTAGTGAGGAGTATAAGATGTTAAAAAAACCAAAAAAATAATGTCCTTTTAAGGGTCCAACATTTTTTTAATATTTGTATTAATGTTTGGGCACACGCTGGAACTACTCTATATTTGAATGATTATCAAGACAGCCTAAGGCTACCAAAATCATTCATATCCAAGTACTGTTTTCTTGCACAGTTTGTTACAAAGCTTTCAGAAGTAGGAGGGACAGCTGTATGATGAAATATGCAATTATGGAATGAAAGATCCACATTCCATTCTCTGAATGTTTTTACTGTTTTCCAGCTTGTGTTTAAGCTGTTTGCTCACTCTAGTAGAATATAAAAACAGTTTGTGTTAAAAATAGTGCAATCATTATTTATTATATGCATTTTTGTTAGCAATAAGATACAAGCTTGTATCTAAAAACTAACATATCTGCAAAGCAGTTATAAAAAGGTATAGAAGTCTGTATAATATTTGCTTTAAATGTTTTTACTTCTCTGTGTGTCATCTTCATATTGAAAACAAATTCAAAAAGTCCTACTGACTCACAACTTGTTATAGAAAAAGAATGCAATGTCATTGGTACCATTATTATGGCAAAGAAAAAAAAATCTTAGAAAAGTGAAGCATGTTAAGAAAAATGAGAAATTGGAATTCCATGATGTTACCCTATTTATTTAACTTTCAACCAAATAAAGACTTTACACATTGATACTAGATGACCAAAATGAAGTCCCATGAAAAAATTGTTGTTTACCAACAAAAGAACGGTTCCTTTCACATCTCCAGTTACATCAGTGACCTGGGTTATGTGCAGATCATACCAGTAGATTTGAGCATGGAAAACGCACAGCTAAGGTTCTGGAGTAATAGAACTGATCCTATTCCCAGCCATTGACAAATATTTTCATGGGTAAAGTTCACAATCTGTTCTAGTCCGAAAAAATTACAGGTAAAGGTACTTCTAAGCCTCAGTGGTTGGTCTGAGGGAAAACTCAATGTCCATTAAGTGCTTCACTTAACTGTTACAAATTATTTTTAAGTCCCATAAAATTCAAATTGTAGGATGGCAGTGATCTAGAAGAGATGAGACAGACTGGCTTTCAGGTTAACCTTACTAAAATAGTAATTTAAAATTTGCTTTTCTTTTCAATGCAGTAATAGAAAATGTGTCAATCCATATTTACAAAATATTTTCAGAACACATTAACATGTTAAGACATGCATTAACTGTCTCAAATTCCATGCTAAATCAGGCACTGGAGGGGAGAGAAGCACCTAGACACCATCATTTTATTCTGCCCTCCCATCCCTACTCATTTTCCTGATACATTAACACAATCCCCAATCATACTTCAATCTAAAATACCCACATAATCCCACAGTGCAAAAAAAAAATTAAAAAAAAAAAAAAAATCTTCTCTCTTGAATGAATACTCATTGCAATGTGTGAAAACTTCCTAGGAGGAGATGAAAGGGAGAGGGAACATGCTAATATAGAAGCTACTGCTTCTTTCATTTGTGCTATTAGCAAGAACAGGCTTGTAACTGATCTGCAAAACCATCAGTAGTTGTTTGTGTATTTTTCCAGTTTCAACCCCCATTTCTCAATCCCTATTTTACGCTGTCAAATAACACAAATATCAGACAATTACTTAATTACACTGTGATAACAGCACTTATCAAATTTTAAGAGCATTATTGTCATTTAATTTTCAGCTTGTTCTTCCCAAACAGTATGCAATTCAGGAGGCGAGCAGTCTCACCCTTGCTGACCACAACAATTTCAGATTTCAGATCACACCTAATAGGCACAACAACATTTGCTGTATTACTACAAATTACATCTCTAGCTCATCCAGTCCTGCCTCCCTTCTCCAGCTCTGCTTTTCAACACTTAGCCACTCTGCAAGGGGAGCACGGGGAAGGCGGGAGGCAGGGAAGCTGCACCACCAGCTATGCAATGCTGCACTCTGAAAATGTAGGTCAGAAAGGAGAGAACATTGTCTTTGCTTTGTACCCACGGCTTTCTGGGGCGGGAGGCTGGGGGAAGGCTGTGGAGAACAACTTCTTACAGCAGGTCAGTTAACAAAGCTCTTGCATTTCAGAAAGCAGAAGAGCGGAACTGAAAACACAGCAGCTGATCAACGCCACACAGGTTAAAAAAATAAAATAGGGCAGGCTCAGTGATAAGGGAAAGCATTAAAAGTGAGACCAAATTAGAAAGCAGATCTGAATTTCTGGTGATAAGTGTTCGCACTTGTCTCCTTCTGGAGAAAATAAATTCTTGTAATAAAAGTTTTAGTTTGTGACTGCAGTGCGTGCTTTTTCATTACAGCCTGAACCAAAGTAATTACAAGAGGTGACATGATGGCACGAATAGCAGGTCAGTAACTCCAGAGTATTTTACACATAGGACTGTCAGCACACAGTCAACCCAAAAGCAAACTAGATTGCTTGTATCTAGGATTTACACTGCATTTTCAAATAAAGAGTTAATTCCAGTCTTCATTTGTCCCTGGTTAACTCAAAACAAATCTAGTCTGGTACAAT